AGGCAGGATGGGAGGAGAGATCTGTGAAAATGGTCACTTAGCGTGTGGGCCTAATGGATAATTGTTGATCAATGTAATAAATTTAGGTTGGGAAATAGCTGACTGTATGATGGCAAATTGGGTGATAAAATCGCTCGAGTAAAAACTGATGCGCCGTCTATGAAATGCAACGTTCCTGATCATCTATGAAATGTTAATTTCGATGAGCACAATATACTCCGTAAGGACGTGATTGGACAGCGCATGTTGTTACGTGTGTTACGTTGGATGGGAAGGTCATCTTAAAGTTAGGATGCTTGGGAGTTTGCATTCGTTTGGGCGTCGCGGCGGATCGGCGGCAGTCTGACGCGATCTCTCTAAAGAACGCTGTTCACTTGTCGCAGGCTGAGACGCGCGCGATGAGTTCGCGTGAGAGGACTGTGCAGAAACTCCAAAGATAGGAAGGTCGACAGAACTCGAAGGACGTTCTTGTGCTTTGCGCGTGGCGAGCGGTGCAGTCTCGTGGCCATTTTTTACGTGTGTTCGTGCAGGTAACGTTCTCACCAACCGCTGTTCTGACTGCGCCAGAGGCTTGGCTAGTGACGTGTCGGTAGAGCAAAGTTAGGAGGCGCGATGTGGTCTTCTCATGTCGCAGTAGTGTGTGGTTAAGTAAACCGCCAAACCCATAATTAGTCATCTCTACGCGGGTGAATTTGAACCAAACACGTTTGAATACGGCGAGTGATAATCTACCGAGATCTAGAGGCAAAACTGCTTAAAGCTGCTGGGAAGGTCATCTGAACTGTGAAACGCCTTCACGTATTCAGACATCTGTCGAGCGCTGTCTGCTATCACAAACACCACCTTTATCCCTCTCTCTCTCTCTCTCTATTTTTGGTGTTCTCAAGTGGTAAACAAAGATGGAATTCTCGCTGACTCTGCATTGAAAAATCCTACGTCCACTCAAAAGAAACTGGGTTATTGCGACATTGCAACAAAGACATCGGCCACGATGTATCTTTACCGGGGCCCGTTTGAGTCTGCTCTAGCTATGTTTCGTCTGGTAACACGTTTATACTCTTCGAGACCGTCAAATTTTTCCTATCCACGTGCGTTTTCGATGTTTTCTGCATTCTTGCTCGTCGTCATCGAACAGACCCTGGATGGACTGCTGATCACCACCGGCGAGGCATTCTACCGACGTCGTGAGTCACACCTGTGCGGCTCGTAAAACCTTCCTGTATTGGAACTGGTGCTGCGAGAGAGCGAGGAGAGAGAAAGAGAAGAGAGGAGAGAGCCCGTTCCGATCACACGTAAATTTGTTCTGTCAGGCGAAGGGATGTGTGTGTGCTGTGTACGTGTGTGTTGTGTGTGTGTGTGTGTGTACGTGCGGTGCGTGCGTGCCGTGCGTGTGTGTGTGTGTGTAGGGTGGGCGGTGGTTCGTAAGCTCGGCTCGTAGACGAAGGTGGGCTAGATATCTGACAGGCGGTTTACAGCGTAAATCCCAGACGTCTTGCACGGTCACGAACACCGTTTGAGCACAGGCCGATCTGTGTACAGTGGGTCTACCACCAGCAGCAGGCAGGTGTTTTGATACGGACAAAATGCATGTAGCTGCTGCTCGTGGCGCCTATCTGACCCGATAGTTTAGATAGATATCGTTAAGGTGTGGCCATATATATTGCGGGCATGGCATGCGATGCAGCTCAGGGGGAGCGTGCGTGTTTGCTTTGGAGGTGACGTATTCAGAAACCAGCGGAGTTTCTAGCGTGATTAGAAATCAGGTTTACCTTTGTTCGCATTTTGGTGAACAGCCCATGTGGTAATTTAGGCTAGGCTGAGTGTTCTGAATGTGGCAATCAAGATTGGATGAGATAGTTTTGGCTTGCCTATTGACATGCGTGTATTGTGGCTGTGATAATAACAGTTATTGTATCTGTGTGCTACGAGCTTACATTCAACCATAGTTAACCTAACTGCCTTCCATCCTATACCCCAGTAACCCTATAGAATTGATCTTATATTTCCAATTTATTTCTATCTCTCCCATCTGTTTCATTTCCAATTTTCTCACCGCCTTTTATTTCCACCATTGATTCTTATTTTTAATTTTGCCCGATAGTTTTAGAACCTAGTATTAAGCTATTTACCTTCTCCCACCCACACCTACGGCCTACCGCAGGCCCTACTTTCTCCCCTGCCAGTTCCTCAACGGTCTTGTGGGAAGTACACGCTGCACCCAGTCAAAATTATCGATGTGATCCTATCCTGTGATGTCGCCGCCCAACCTCCGACCACGTTTTGTACGACCAATTGTGATCCTTCCTGTGATGTCCCGCCCCACCTCCGACCACTGATGTGATCCTTCCTGTGATGTCCCGCCCCACCTCCGACCCCGGCGACTGATGTGGATATCCTTCCTGTGATGTCCGCGCCCCACTCCGACCACTTGATTGTGATCCTTCCTGTGATGTTCCGCGCCCGCACCGTACCGACCACTGATGTGAATGCCTTCCTGTGATGTCCGCCGCACCGGTCCGAGCCACTGATGTGATCTTTCCTGTGAGTCCCGCCCACCTCCGACCAACTGATTGATCCTTCCTGTGATGATCCCCCCAAACCGCCGACCACTGATGTGGATCTTTCCTGTGCATGTCGCCGCCGCCCCAGCCCTCCGACCACTGAGGTGACTTCCTGTGATGTCCGCGCCCACCTCCGACACTGATGTGATCCTTGCTGTGATGGTCGCCGCCACCCCGACCACTGATGTGATCTTTCTGTGATGTCCCGCCCGCAACCTCCGATCGCACGTGATGTGATCGTTCCGTGCTGTCCCGCCCCGGGAGCCCCTCGCGACCGGGGCACTGATGGATCGTTCCTACGTGATGTCGCCGCCCCAGCCGGTCGCGAGCCACGTGATGTGACTCTTCCTGTGATGTCGCCGCCCACTCCGACCACTTGGATCGTGATCTTTCGCTCGTGATGTCCCGCCCCCACCCTCCGACCGACTGCTGTGACTTCCCCCTGTGATGCTCGCCGCCCACGGCCACCTCCGACCAGCTGGGATGGTGATCCTTCCTGTGATGTCCCGCCCACAGGCACTTCAATTGCGCGCACACTGACACATAAATATATAGTTTATATATTTATTAATAAGTGGCCTCCATCTCGGCACTAATCGCCTTGTACTTCTCTCTCTCGGACAGTAACTCATCTGCGTACACACACACACCAGTCACATGCACACTTCAAACAACAACGAGCTGTTAATCGTAGACGCTAAAACACAGCATCCGGTAAACCGTTGCAATCGGAGGTGGGGCGGGACATCACAGGAAAGATCACATCGATAATTTGATGGTGGTGTACTTCCACAAGAACGTGAGGAACTGGCAGGGGAGAAAGTAGGGTGCGGTAGGCGTGTGTGGGTGGGAGAAGGTAAATAGCTTTAAATATAGGTTTAAAATATACGGGCAAAATTAAAAAAGAATCAATGTAAAAATAAAAGGGGTGAGAAAAATTGGAAATGAAACAGATAGGAGAGATAGGAAATAAATTGGAAATATAAGATCAATATAGGGTTATGGGGTAAGGTGGAAGGCAGGTTAGGTTACACTATGGTTGTGTAAGCTCTAGCACACAGATACAATAACTGTTATTATCAGGCCACAATACACGCAGTAGTAATAGGCAAGCAAAACTATCTCATCCAATCTTGATTGCCACATTCAGAACACTCGTAGCCTAAATTACACATGGGCTTTCACCACAAATGACAAAGGTAAACCTGATTTCTAATCACGCTAGAAACTCTCGCTGGTTTCTGAATACGTCACCTCCAAGCAAACACGCAACGCTCCGCCCCTGAGCTGCATCGCATGCCATGCGCAATAATATATGCACACCTTAACGATATCTTCTAACTATCGGTCATAGGCGCACGAGCAGCAGCTACATGCATTTTCCGTATCAAAACACCGCTGCTGCTGGTGGTAGACCCACTGACACAGATTGCCTGTGCAAACGTTGTTTCGTGACCGTGACAAGACGTCTGGGATTTACGCGTAACCGCCTGTAAGAATATCTAGCCCACCTTCGCGTACGAGCCGCAGCTTACGAACCACCGCCCACCCCTACACACACACACACACGCACGCACGCACGCACGCACGTACACACACACACACACGTACACACGTACACACACACACACATCCCTCCCTACAGACACACATTTACGCTGTGATCGGAACGGCTCTCTCTCTCTCTCTCTCTCTCTCGCTCTCTCGCAGCACACAGTCAATACAGGAAGTTTACGAGGCACATGTGTGACTCACGACTCGTGAATGCCCGCGGTGGTGACTCATCATCATCATCTGTTCGATGACACGAGCAAAGAATGCAGAAAACATGACAACGACACGTGGGAGGAAAAATTTGACGTCTCGAAGAGATAACGTGTTACAGACGAAAACATAGCTAAGAGAGACTCAAACGGCCCCCGTAAAGATAATCGTGGCCGATGTCTTTGTTGCAATGTCGCTAACCCAGTTTTTTTAGGGACGGTAGGATTTTTCAATGAAGAGAGAGAATTCCATCTTTGTTTACCACTTGAAAAACCACAAAAATAGAGAGAGAGAGAGAGAGGATAAAGGTGTTTTTGTAGCAGACAGCGCTCGGACAGATGTCTGAATACGTGAAGGCGTTCAGCAGTTCAGTGACCTTCCCAGCAGCTTAAGCAGGTTTTGCTCTAGATGGTAATATCACTCGCCGTATCACAACGTGTTTGGTTCAAATTCCACCGCTTAGAGATGACTAATTATGGTCTGGCGGCTTTTACTTAAACCACACACTACTGCGACATGATAAGACCCACATCGCGCTCCTAACTTTGCCTCTACCGACACTCACTAGCCAAGCTCGCGCGTCAGAACAGCGTTGGTAGAACGTTACCTGCACGAAACACACGTAAAAATGGCCACGAGATGCACCGTCGCCAGCGCAAAAGCACAAGAACGTACCTTCGAGTCTGTCGACCTCCTTCTGGAGTTTCTGCACAGTCCTCTCAGCGAACTCAGCGCGCGTCTCAGCCTGCGACAAGTGAACAGCGTTAGAGAGATCGGTCAGACTGCCGCGATCCGCCGCGACGCCCAAACGAATGAAACTCCCAAGCTCCCTAACCTCTAAGATTACTTCCCATCCACACGTAACCACGTAAAACATGCGCTGTCCAATCACGTCTTAGAGTAATTTTGCTCATCGAAATTAACATTTCATAGATATCGAGAAACGTTTCATAGACGACGCATCAGTTTTATCAGCGATTTTATCACCAATTTGCCATCATACAGGTCAGCTTTTCCCAACAAATTTATTACAATTGTCAACAATTATCATTAGGCACAGCTAATGACATTTCACAGATTTTCCCATCCGCTCTGTCATTGCCAATTTACTGGCTAGCGTGATAGGGCTATAGTTCTATAGCTAGCGCGATGATACTTACATCCTTGAGCCTGGCTGTCAGGTCGCGGATCTGTGTCTCGTAGCTGTCCTCTCTCTGTGCAGCCTGTAAACAAACGCACGTCACCGTCAGTACAGCCGTGTCACTCCTGCTACGGATCGCTCGCGTAGTCGCGCGAACGACTGCCGCTGATCCGCCGCGCAGCCGCGTAAGAACTCGAGGAAGACTATGAGAATGCTGACGGACAGCCTTCGTCGTAATTATCATCGTGTTTACCAAAGTTCTATACCAACGGGAGCGCGAGCGTGCGAATACGCTCTACTGTTTGCTATGAGCCGCAGAAAAATCAACTCAGTCGCGTTGGTCGTCGGAAGATTGTGAGGGAATAATCGCAAGAAAATTGCAAGAAAATCGCGCTTCGTTGTTTGTGGGGAACAACTGCAGGAAAATCGCGAGAAAAGCGCGCGTTATTTTGCTATACCTTCTCCTCGCTGACTTCGAGAGACTTCAGGTTGTTGCCGACAACTCTCAGCTCCTCCTCCAGCTCAATGATCTTGCTGCAAAGACGAACGACAACGCATGACAACGACGCGTGCACGTCCACGTACAAACCCGATACACAATACACTACGATACGCTATGGTACCGTACAGTACGATACACTACGATACGCTAAGGTACACTGCGCGACATAGAGGGATGTAACGAGCAAAGCTAGCCGATGACTAGCCAGTACTCTCGCCACAAAACCGCAAAGTGGCGTTCGTACAAATAACACCTGCCGTCGACACTACAGCCAGTCACTCCTCGTTTTAATATACTGCTCCACGCATGATCGCATAATGGAATTATTAATGAATCGACTCGTCGCAACACGATGCGCCGGCCGCAAACGAAACTCATCGAACTTCACGCGATCCGAGTCGAGGTGTTGGTCTGCAAGTTTTCCCTCCGACAGCTTCGCCAGATGGCTCTCGTCCGCGTACCGAGCCGAGGCTTCATGAATATTGCGCGGCGAAAGGAAGAGAACCGCTGCATACAATAGCGCAGGCGCGCACGCATACTTACCTCGCCTATCGCCCTCGATTACGAACGTTAGGCAAATCGCCTCCGATTCTACAGCTACACATTACTGATTCTATAGCTGTGGAACACATCGCTACAGGTACAGCATCTGATGATCGGTGAGTGGCGATGGTGGTACACAGTCTTACCCCTCCTCAACATTCAAAACGAGATTACCGCGCACTCGGGTTTTTACGCCGATGATTTAAAGGGTGGGTGTACCATTATGAGTGAAGCTCATGGAGTGGAGTGAGTAGCAGTGAAAAATCCATTGAGCGTTTGCCGTGGCGAAAGGTGAATTTAGTGAAAAGCTGCTGAGTGAAAATTGTGTGTAGAAAAATATCGATTCAAAAAGATATCACTACGATTTCTCTGAACATAAAAACGCGTAAAATGAAAATATTGACCATTGCCAACGAGCGACAGTCACAGATTTTAATTTCAAAATGCCGATACAAAAAAACACATGCTCATAACACATGTGTGTGCAACAATATGCTCACAACATAACTGTTATGTATGAGTAAAAACAATGTTATCTGTACAAATTCTCGCAAAACTTTTAAGTTTCCTATGAGGACAACTCCTATAGTATATGGACTCACACATGTAAATACGAACTTGCCTTTCGCTTCTCTCAAAATTGCCGCATGCCGCGTACAAAAAAACCGATCTCGGATAAGTGGTCCGGAAAAAAAAAATCATGGACAGCCTCCATGAAAAAAATCATGCCAGTTTAATTGGATGGAAAAACAAGTGAAAATGCTGAAACTTCTATATGTACATGTATGTTTATATAGAATTGTATTAACGAATCGTATAAATGGAATCAGCATCAGCAAATGACTCCCGGATATGACACTGAATGTTAGTGTGCGTATATAGTGCCCATGCTCTATATACGTGACGCCACGAATGACAGCGTGGTCGGGGGATATCGGCTCCAAGCATTCTTAGGTTTAGTACACGGAGCTATGACGTAAGCACCAGGGCACAATGCCCTCTTGTGTCACTGCGGATGGGAGGCAAGCAATGCTAGGACGGCGTGGTCGCCATGGCAACAGCGCCACGCTCCGTCCGTCCGACAAGAGCATCGATCATTGCTGCACCCATCATTTTCGGGCAGTTGTGGGGACATGCTACCAACGTGCCTCAACGCAGTGCGGCCGCAGCTAGGTGCCAGCTAGCGCTCGCTGTCGCTGCCAGTGTATTCCAAGCAGAGAAAAGTGGGGTTGGGGTAGGGTAGTAAAAAGTGCGTACGACGTAGGTCTGCATTCAAGAGCGCAAACATGGACGATCGCGCGCTGAAGAAGACAGCGGCGGTAGCGGGGTGACCGCCCTCACCGCCTCCTACGTCATTAGTTTAATGCCAGGGTGGGCTCGCTCTCGTCGCAAACGTGAGTGGGGATGCGTGGGTGATCGTGGGTTGGGGGGAGGGTGAAACGAACTATGTAAGGTGCGTGGCGGCTCGCATCGCAGACGGACGGCCGGCTCGGTTGCAGAGAGAAGTACTGCTACTCACACTTCACCGCCGGTGGCGCGCTCCTCAGCCCGCTCCAAGTCAGATTCCATATTCTGCACTTTACGCGACACCTGCGTGTTCGGAACACAACGATAAACAACAGTGGTTAGCCGCATTACGAGCGCGATCGGGTACTTACGCTTCGCCCGCCTCCGCACGCTCCTCTGCGCGCTCCAAGTCCGACTCAACCACCTGCACCTTGCGCGCCACCTAATGGAGACACACAGATCAGCACATGGAAGTTTATCCACGCACGCAGATTTCATCGGAAATGCAGAACTGGCCGGCGCCGTCTAAATTTACTCAAAAAATTCCTCGATTTACTTACATTTGATTTTCGTTCCGTTATTTAAACATGAGAACTATATTACTCAAGTTCTTTCTTAACATCTTTACAATGAGAATCTCTTGAGGCGTATTCATTAACCGATACGGCATCGATATATATAGTCATTATAACGAGTGAGCCTTATTATTAGGCCTGTTTAGCACCAAGTTATCCTAAACATTTAATCTATTCCAATTTCCACATTATCCTATTTCATAATAATCATGAAGTAGCCCAGCCATCATATTACAAATAAAAAAATATTATATACTAGGTTATTGCCATTATTTTCCATTCGAGACTCATCACAATCATCTATACATCTACACAACATATACATGAACATGTACCTATCCTATACATGTTTAGGTATATTATTTAGAACTCCTTACAATTTCACAAAGGTTTAACAAATTGTATAATCAAAATGCATGCATTAACTATACACAAATGCAAACTACAGTGTACATGCGATTCATAATGCAGTTAACTTAATTACGTGTGCTATTTTTACGGTATGGAAATATATACGACAAATACTAGTTACTAGATACGGTGTTAGGTTAGTGCTCTGGTATCACCTGAAATAGAAACGTTATATGAATTAGTGAACGTAGCCAATGCACGGCAGGTTTACGATACTGGTGCACACACGCACACATACACACATCCAACGTCATGCGTCACGTGCTGTTAGACAGCTACGGTACTAGTACTACTACACGTACGAGAGCGGCACGTTGTTACACTGTGACTTCTCCCTTAAAGACAACATTCGTGGTTAGTCATGAGAAACCTACGGTTGCCAGCCGACACGAGTCACGGACACGCGACAGGAGTACGTCTACACGTTAATTAACATCAACGTGTGGACGCATTCCTGATGCTGTTGCACAACAAACCATAGTAACGTTAGTTCTGCTGCAGCAACAGTTACTCTGCCAGACAGGCCAGAGAACGTTGGCAGGGCTCCCATCCACATCTCGAGGATGCTTCACGTGCAAGTATCGTCGACGTAATCACGAATGCAAATCGCGCGGCCGCCGCCAACTAACGAAGCCACGCTGTACATGAACAAGTCCATGTACGGATTTGTTACCTCAAACATTCAAGTTATCATTTCGGGATCGCAAATAATAAGTTGTTGTGTGGCAACCGTGAGTAGAGGGGCTACAGGGATTCGGAAATCTCGGGTGGGATACCGAGCATAGCAAAAGAATACTTACCCGAACAGGTTGCAGTTAATCCGAACGGGGCGTGGTGGTTAAGTGTGAGGGGCGCAGGAGTCGAGGGAGGCAACTCCCGGCGCGTCAAGCAGTACTTAGAAGGCTGTTACGAACAGCCATGTTACGCCAAGGCAGACCGAGACTAACACGCGCCTAGAGCACGAGACATTCCTTGACAACGCTTTCGCGTTCGCTCGGCAACGGAACATGACTTACGGAGGACGCGTGACGCACCGAGCTAGCACACGGCTTCCCGATGTCGCGTCTGCACCGTGCGTTGCCATAGGTCATCACGCGAGAGAGTTGTTATTGTATTATTATTAATATTATTCGAACCACGAGAACGTAACAGAACGACAAGACGGTTCCCGGCGCACATGTCTTCCTACACAATGTCGCCCGTCGAGCTTGCCTAGATGCGAAATCTAGCAAGGTCAGCGCCCATCTATATATTACGGCCGGGGACATTAGTCTGGTTCAAGCTAGAAGTGCCGTGGGATGGAGAGATGGTTAACGAGAGGCAGGCCCCCACGAGCAACCATAATGTGTGACTTCATCAACTGTGTCACGCCAGGTCTCCAAGGGGAAATGCAGTAGTGCAGGCGTGCATCAGTAATCAAGACATCTCTCTCTCTCTATATATATATATATTATATTATATATATATATATATATATATATATATATATATATATATATATATATATATATATATATATATATATATATAGGCATTAGCTGGTAGTGCGATTACAGGTGGAAGTCTTCGTACATTTTACTATACATATATACTATATGCATCTACCTCTGTTTCTGTACGAATATAAATATATACATACCAGTGTATGAATATACTATCGGGTACTACGATTAACGAAACTACTACGAAGCCTGATCAAAGCCGACATGCCTAAGAACAGCCGATTTCAATCCAGATGTGCCGATACATATCACCGACCGCGTTGTATATGTCACCAGCCATCTATTGCTGAGCTGATGCACCTACGCAGCCGCAGTCGAATGCACATGTATCGCTTCTGGGGGAGAGGGGAGCGTGAGTAGAGAGAGAGAAGATGAGTAGAAGAGAGAGGCTTTCTATACAGGCTGCAGCACACACACGTGCGCGTGTGACCGCGTGTGGGAGGGCGAGGTCTAACTTACAAAACCGAACGTACGACGATGAGTAAAACGATTACCATTAGGTGTCTGTGAAGGTTACGGGGGGGGGGGGGGGGGGCAGTGAGCTGTCCTTAAGAGATCATCTACGTCTAAACATGCTGCCTGTCCGGAGCTAGTCGCATCCGGAGCAACATGTTCGCATGGAAGCTCTGTCGTCTGCCAGAGAGATGCAGCAGCCGCTTCCAATAGAGTGAGAGAGAGAGAGAGAGTAAGTAAGCGAGATGGATGCATGCCTAGAATCGCGCATGTAGACGGGCGACAGCTACCCGCATTCCGACATGCTGAGGGGGCGAGGGCGCGGGCGGGGGGGAGGGAGGGAGAGCGATCTTCGTCGCTCTAACCGGATCTAACCTCGTCGTATTTCCTATCAGACTCTTCCGCGAGAAACTGCGCTTCCTTCAGGGAGGTTTCCAGCATGTTGGCCCGCTCCTCCTCCTGGTTCACTCTGTTGTCCATCAATTTTCGGTTTCTTTCGCAAACAAAAAACCGCATCGTTAATGGCCGCCCGCTACGAACGTCGGGCCAGCAGGTGGCGCTACCGCTCCTGCCAGGATGCGTTGCCACGGATACGCAGCACCTCTGCGCAGCGATTTGTTTCTAGCGTAAACGCGTTAGGGAGGCGGAGTGCACGGCACGCCACCTGGTTGCGGCATCCACCACCGTGACCTCGTCGTCGTCGCAGTCGTCATCATCGCCATTTCTGTTGTTAGACCTTCAGCGCGGCGACTCACACTTCAGAGAACGGTTAGTGATAGTACAACACGAAGCGACAGCAATGCAGTATAAACCCAGCAACGCACTCTCTTGAGCCCATCGCTCTTGGTGTCCAGTGAAGCCCAAGCGCTGACCGTTTCGCCACAATCAATAAAAAAATTCAATCGATTCACTCAATCGTTCCAATTTCACCGAAAATGTGCCGACAGTGTGCACCACTGCGCAAGGCATTTCGTCTCGCTAGCCTACTGGACACCAATTCTATTTCAGCCATTTGCAATTCAGAAACACAAAACACAGTCACAGACTTCCCCAGGCAAACTAACTCGGTCAGATGCCCGGCCGCCTACCTACGGCCGGCCCTATGCCACGTCACAACAACAACGTCCTTAGCGGACGCGCGTCAAACACCTACGACACACACGTTTGCATTGCACACACTCCACAGCATCACCGCATAGTGCGGCGCGTGGCGTGCAGAGGAGACGCCTAACCTCGTCGAACTTCCTGTCGGATTCCTCGGCAAGCATCTGAGCCTCTTTGAGCGCCTGATCGAGGCTAGTCGTTCGCTCCTCTTCAGTCGACGCCTTGTGCTCAAGCGTTTTTCTCAAACTAGCGTGGAACAACGTAAAGGGCAACGAGAAAATAACGCGGTTAGTCACGAAAGACGGACGAGTCTGCGGATGTGCTCCATGATCTGAAACGGGGGACGCGGGACACGGACGGCTCCTCCCGCATGCTCAGACCTGCAAGCCAACAAACACCGCCTCATCGCGGTCAGTCGGTCAGTCATCTCCGGCTCTCCGGCGGCGGACGGAATCCCAGACCGAGTCAGCAGCGCGGCGTGCGCGTTAGCCACCACCACCGTGTGAGTACCACCACCAGAGGGCGTCGTTCGCCCCTAGCGATGACTAACCTCTTCGTAGCGCTGCTGCGCTTCCTCCGCCAGCGACCGCGCCTCATGCAGCTGGACCTCGAGCATCTCGGCGCGACTGTCATCCATTACATTTTTATTTTCAGTCGACTTTCTCGCTCTGCGGGGAAGAAGCAAGCGACGCACGTTTTACGGAGCATGCAGCATGCAAGTGACGCGCGTGCGGGGCCGCCGGCCGACGACGTCCGCATCGCTGCGGCAACTACGACGACGACGTTTGCGTCGCTGCAGCGATGGCCGTCGTCTGTCGGCGGAGCCCGATCTTACTCGTCGCAGTTTGTGCACCCTACCTCCTCATACTTTCTATCTGCCTCCTCCGCAAGGCCTTTGTACTGCGTGAGCTGTCGTTCCAAAGTGTCTATCCTATCGTCGTCCTTATGAAAGCGATTCTCTAGAGCTTTCTTTCCCCTGTACGCACACACCATGCAACAAAACAGGCAAACGACGGTGTAAGCAACACTGGTTAGTGTGTTAGAGACGTCAAAGCAGCAGACAAACGTGTGTAATGAACTGCACCCCTCCCCCCCCCCCCCTGTGATAGACAACAAAAATGGCTAGGTGCGTGTAACACACAGCGAGAGATAGAGACAGAAAGGGAAAGTCTGTGAACATCTAGTTTTGGAACTTCCTGCGTACGCTAAATTGTGATTCCCGTGTGACCGTATAGAAGTTATGGGATGGGCAGCACTGATGGCTATCAATTATTGCTTTTAGAGGTGCTGGTGAAAGGGTTAATTCATCTCTGAGCATCGAGATTGCCCGCCGAACATTCTCTCATTAATGAAAAATTTCAAGAGCGTTTACATGGTTAGCGTAAATTGGTTCACGACGCATCCTCAAACTACACACCCTCTTCCTGATTCGTCAACACGACCTCACTTACAGAACACTGGAGATATTATTTTATTAGCAGATAACCTGTTAGCTGTTAGATCTATACATCCATTCGAATTAGTGTCATTTTTAGCTAGCTCGAGTCACCCGATAAAATGCATGCATTGCATAACTGAGCGGTGACTCACTTGTAACGCCGGAACTACTATTTTAGCACGTATAAATCCACTGAGCCAATGAGTTTGTGATGTGTTACTTTCTAGCTAACTCGTATTAGATGTAAAAATGCATGCACTGCATATTTCCAATAGCATTCCATACGATACCTTGTCTCAGGATACATCTAGCCTCTGTCCACACAGATGTGCGCACATTCATAACCCTTCACACCTCTGCTGTCTAACTAACAGAACGCAACAGGAGACCCACAACCAGACATAAAACAGACACAACGCTGAAAGCAAGAGAAAGAGACAGAACATAGAAGGCGGCGAAAGCAGCTGGTGACCATACGCTGAAAACTCAAATGAAAAAATCCCAAATTAAATCTACGCAAGAAAAGCACAGATGCAAAGCTCGGAAGTGGGATAATCTCATTGTATTATATGCCTTTTCATGTCAACCACCACCCCTCCACCCCCGCTAAATCCTACACTACCCAGTCAACCACCGGATTAGATCCAGGTTGCAGAGCTTTGAAAAGCTTTGAGAAATAGGTAACAGGTGATACAGTAGCTATATTTCCCAGTATTTCGAGTGCTGTACGATGCATGTACGATACCGTGAATACACATTGTAGTAATGACATTCTAAATAGTGGTTATTTACAGTGTTAAATTACATTACGATGATACCCATTCTAGACTTGGTGAAATTCGCTGTGAAAAACATTAGAATAATTAACATAGCATTATTCTGTGGACCAGCAAACAAAGCAACAATTTAAGAATAAATGTTCAGGCTACTCTGTACCCACTGACATAATGAAAAAAAATGTAAAATTAATTCCCAAACAAAAAATAACACATTATACTGGAGGCTATGAAAAAACCACAACTGCGCCAATAAAGCTGGCCGAAACGACCTTCGGACCTTCGCCAATAAAGCTACGGCGAATTGGAATCAAATTGGCAGAAAAAAATTGGCGGAAAAAATTGGCGGAAAAAAATGGCGGTGAAATAAAATTCTAACTGAACACATCAATTATATGGCCGAAGACTTTTTCGCATCAATATTTACACGGCGTCATCACTTAATGTAATGTAGCTAGCGGATTCTAAATGCCCGGGGATCACAATCACTCATTAAACCTAGAGCAAGTAGGCCCGCGAGAGACAAACTATCAAAGTCGCAGTCATAGAAATCGCTGTACCGTTCGCTCTCGTCAGCTGCCTTGGATGCCTCCTCGAGCTTCTCTGTGGCGGTCTTGAGTCTCTCCTCTGCTCTCTCCAGATCCTCCTCCAGCAGTTGGATCCTTCTGTTGAATGCTGCCACCTCAGCCTCCGCCTGCAAGCAACAACACGTGGAGGCGCGTGAGAGATTCTGTCACACAGCAGAGCTCTACGACAGGGACTGCACAAAGACACGGCCGATACACGGGGAGAAGAGACTAGATATTGGTAGAGAACCACCCCCCCCCCTAACATCAACCTATAATTTAGTAAAAACGTGGGGGAAAAAACTTTAGATGCCATTTTAATAGATTCTCACATCATCCGTGGCCGTGAAGAAAATATGATGTCTTGTGGAACATGGTAAAAGAAGATTTTATGATGTGATACGAATAGGAATGCCATAAAATGGGAACAACGAAGAGTATATAAACAAAACTAGTACGTCGTACGAAGTTATATAGTAAAATGGGCTGAGTGTTTCACTTGGAAACGCACAGTGCGTCTTTTGCTGAAAATTCAAATTTCTGCATTTTAGTGGACTTGTATAGTTGTATTAGCAACTACTGCAGCGTTACGATTCCAACGAAAATTGAACCGATATCACCAGTGCTCCACACACACACGCTCACACCCGCGCACACACGCACACGCTCTGACACACCCGCACACACACACACGCACACGCTCACACCCGCACGCACACACACATCCGAAAGCCGTGTATTTGATATTCGGATAACACTCTTCAAACGTCTTTCTTAGCCGTGCCGGCAGTGCAAGCAGTGCAGCCTATTCTCTCGGTCATGAATATTGGTAAAGTACAGTAACACACAACGCCCACCCAAGTACTGCCAACCGGCATGTTGTGTACACTACTGCAGAGCACACCATGATGGTAAATTCATCAGGCGAATTCCAAGTAGCAGCTGGCAATACACTAAGCAAATCTAGCACATTTCTGAAGGATGGACGGGCTGTAGCAAAACCCAGGCACACGGGGCACACCCCTTCCTGAATCAATCGGCCCCGTTCCTTACACACAAACGTGTCTGTATATGAGGTAGCATGATATATATCTATCTACATTCATGCCGCCCCTTCCACACGCACACAATCTCTCCTTGTGACAGCTAGGCAGTCGACAATAGCTGCGATGTGTGTACAGTATGCGTGTGCCTATCTACCTGCCCGCCTGCCCCCACGACAATAGATGGCCTACCAAAATTGGTAGTGCTGATTCATGCGTCCATCACGCCATGAATTATACGCAAATCTCCACGCACATAGACACAACTAGATTACTAGACTGCCATCCTCGGACTGCCGACGTGAAAACAACACGACCCTTGTCGTGATACCTATAATATTAACATGGCAAAAATGCTGGAAATACTAGTACACAACAGCGTCTTTTTCCCTCGGTGAAATGAGGCATAATGATTAATGTCTAACGTTTTAGTTGGCGTTCGCTCTGTTCAAGCACTGCAGTCAAATGACTCAAATATCGATTGTTTCAGCACGTACTGACTGTCTGGCTGGCTGGCATACAATAAGCGTGTATAATACGTATGGGACAGGCTTGCCTGCTGCCCCACCGGCCCTCGGTGACGCAAGCCAGCACGTATGTAAGCTACTGGCAAACCATAATGCAGAGAGTGAGAGAGAGAGAGACAGAAAGCTACCACTGAGCGAGCGGAGTGTGATGACTCATGCGTGTGTCACCCCTTCTCATTTATTTCCCCTCAATTAAACTACAACAAACACGTAGCCATGGAAAATTATACGCGCCTATGTGCGCGCGCGCGTGTGCCTGCGTGCGTGCGTGCGTGCACGTATGCTTTCTTTTACTCTACATATCAAGAGCTAATAATACCTTGTGATAGTTTGTATATATATGTGCACATGGGGGGAGTATAATTATGCATTATTATGTAAATGGGGCACGCAACAGAATTATGAGAAAATGGCTACAATGTGACGAACATGTAATACTGTTATACATTTCAAAATTTACTTTGAAAAACACAGAGACTGATAAGAAATGAAATGTGCGATGCTCTATATAAACAGTACACATTTGCCACTTTCAGTGCAGTGGTACAGGTGCAGTGGTTCCAGCAACACATCGCCTAACTGATAAACTATATATACGTTTTTCCAATAGCCCAACAAATATAATAATAATAATTTGCGAAAGTGGGCAGAGCATTAAAGTAGGGGTAATTGTAGTGATGAGAAAACGTTAACCTGTTGTTTTTTAAGCAATGTCTGAAAGCCAATGTGAGAAATAAACAGTGTGCACTACCAGCCATAGCTGCTGCCATGCACACAGTGTGAATTACATGACAGGTGCGTATCCCTAGCACCACTCTACTCAACTGTACACACATCATGCACTGTGACTTTCAAGCCAACCAGTGCACATTCGCCAACTTTGAGAAAACCAGATAAGCCAGGCTTAACCAAATACTGCCCATGTGAAGTCATAAAACTACACACGTGAATTGGCTAGGTCGCTATTATTAGACTGTATATATGGTAACTAGGTACAAAGTGTGTAATTGTCTGACGGAAAAATTTGCATGACTGTAGCCTCAGAGTTGCGGCAACGATAATTAAAGGCAGTGGCCCTACCACTACATGAGAATGTAACCAGGAACTGTAAGAGATTCCATGCCCACATTCCAATGCAATTGTTCACGCACTGATACCTACGTAAGTGTGCCCTCTGCTAAGCTGTAACTACATGTACTCGGGGAAACTTCAAATAAGATTTATGTGTGTGTATATATTATATATACATTGTGCACTTGCTTTATTATTTCATCTGAATGAAACATTTCAGTTTCGAATAATTTAATGTTAGAAGTTATACCTACTGGAATCAGTGAATGAATTTGTAAATAGAAAATTACTATCTGGAACCGTCGCAGTTTTAAAATCTGTGGAGGGAATTAATGGATATGAAATTACAGCACTACAATATACAGAAGCACATATTTGAAGTACCACACCCCCTTAAAAAAACACTATATCAGCTTTACCGATTTGGAAAGTCAACACGAGAAAATAACTTACAACACTGAAAAGTAAGCCAAATTACTTACATTACATTCATTATATTTATACAGTTACAACTAGATCTTACATTAACAGTAATCACACCTAACAAGCCACTAACCACAAAGAATCATGAATTATTTTCCAATAAACAATATATTATTGAATGATATATACATCTATTACGTAACAAATGGGAAGACCGATTACTTTGTTATACATGGGAATCGCTTATCATTAATGACATTATCATTACCAGCTATGATCAGTAATAGTATTATATATTACAATGAAGTTTATCGATAAATGCGTCTGGTGAAACGAAAAGTCTAGCTTACTTGTTCCCGAATCTTTTGTTCGCCCTTCATTTGGCGTTTATATTCCTCACATTCATCTCTCACTCCTTCCAGTTCCTCTCTTTGTTGCCTCATCTTCTTCTTAATGGTATCTAACACTGCTGGATTCGCCATTTTCCCGACGAATGTGATAAAACCTGAACTGATTTCACTACACCGACAACTAGAGACCCTGCAACATTCACAGCCGCCTAACACCAGCAAGAGAAAGAGTGCCCATAAAAATGTAAACCCTTAGGTACCGTTTATGACTAGAGACACTAAATTCAGTAGTTGTTGGTTGTGAGGTTATTTTATTAAACATATAATATTCATTGCTCTGCTGATATTTGATAATTATTTAAATACGAAAACAATGTAGTAGATTTTCCCAGTAATGATTCATTTTCATTGTATAAATGCGCGAGCGGAACCTGGTTGGGCGTTTCCGTGCCATGAGACTCAAATGATTTTGGATTAGCTAGAATAGGTAACTCTATTACAAATATTTACTTCGTTATATTACATGTTATTACAATCATTGCCGTTGATCTGTATATCTTTCGCTATGCAAAGGAAATTACATTTAATTTCCTTTGCATAGCAAAAGATATACAGTATTGCGTTATATATATACATGAGTATACATATATAATATATATATTATGTATATTATAAAATATGTGAAATATTCGAACATCATGCAGTTCGTGTTCATAATAATATGGAAAAATTATTATACATATGTATTTGTCGATAGGGCAATTGTTGCTAATAATCAAGCTAGACAGATCTACATTCATTAAAAGTAAATTAAATTCTGCTGTGTCACAAATAGAGAAAATAGTCGGTATTCTCTTAATTAAAAAAAAAAGTTTCCAGTTTCTACGATTAAAGACTTTAGAGTGAAACAAATAAATTACTAAACGATATTAAAACGGAGTCATCGATAGGCAGGTCTAACTCTCGCTTGGATCTAAAACATTTTTGCAGCGCCGGCATCAGCCGCCTGCTTAATAACATACTAAGTCGCCCACCTAGTTTCTCTGTATATTTCTATACGTCTCTCAATTCATTGCATGTTGCTGCCATCTAGCGTGCAGCCCGCGCAAAAACTAGCGTAGCACTGTTAGCAAAAACATCGCTTACTGGTAGCGATCAAATGTCTCAGGATCTGAGGAATGCTAAAGGTTATTAATCGTTAATTTGACATTTTTGATAGGACAGGAGAAAAGCAATTAGAAATTAGCGCGCGTTTACTGAAGTAATTTGTTGCGAACGATCGTGATATTAGCCCATATATACGCGCGTAAATACATATATATGCAGGTTGTAATTCAAACCAAACCAATTGAAAAGTCAGATGATTGAAATATTCTTTCTACTATCATGATTTTCAAGCGATAAATTATTAAAATACGTGTCTATGTCTATTCGAGAAACGCTGGCGTGCGTCATCGTTAAACAATATATATTTATACATAGAATACGGGCCCTGCCCATGGCTGCGCTAAATTTGGGAGCTCTGAATCCGGCAGACGCTTCCCATATGCTAACACATGCGTGCAGTATGCAGACGGTCCACCACCGAACCCGAAAACAAACCGTGGAGTGTTGCTTTACAACGGCAGAGGCTGCGCGCTATTTTAAGCTACGGTTTCTGCTGTACAACTCAAGGCCCGGAGGAGGAACTTATGTGTATTTATAAACGCAAGACGCCGCAGCGAAGTCGCTCGCATTTGATCACGGGCGCATCCGCGAAGCAAGGTGCATTAAAGAAAACTTCCACCAGCCCCACGGCGGGTGCTAATCATTCCCATCGAAATCCTACAGCATTTTCCCATCAATGAACCGATTCGGTTTTATGGGGCTCGGCCGAATTATTGTTCGACGCATAAAGAAATTTCTTCGAGTGGCATTCATATGCAAAGAACAGTGCTCACCGACTGCGCTATAATGTATACTTCCTTTCCTGTCCTAAATATCATTGCAAGTATTTAGTATTCACAGACACGTACGTTACTCGACTACCCACCAATGAACGTATGATTCAAGTGCAACTGTATCGTTTCCTAAACGTTAGTTACGTTCATTAATTGCCAATGCTTATAATAAGCTTAATTCCACCATTACAGTGAAAAAAAGAAAACGAACTAAACTCGTGGTGCAGAATGTCAATGGAACAGGGGGCGAATATTAGGCTTATTACTAAAAGTAAATAAACCATTATGTAGAGGGTCAGAAATTTCGTCAGCGTAAATTCTAAAGCAGATAAATAAAGTCGAATATTATTATTATTATTATTATTATTATTAAAGTTTTACCGCTCCTAGTGCTCGTAAAATGTGTCGAAGTTCGTTGCCAATGAGGGAGAATTTCATCATTGTGTTGGAATGGAACGCTTGTGTAGAGAATCCGGGATAGCCCGCCGAGCGCTGTCTCGGCTCCCGCTGCTGCGACTGTGAGTCGGGGTCGCCATTTTTTTTCGGCCTTATCAATTCATCCCAGTATGTATCGAACTCTTCACTATCTCTCTGCTGCTGGCGAGTTTTCTTCGGCGGGCGCGCCGCTCGTTCAGTGCGAGTCTCCACAGCGCCTTCCCCGCTGGGACTAGGTGGCCTCACAATCGCGTCATTATCTGGTATGACGTCACAAGATTTCTGTTTTTCTTGCGCCGCCTTAGCCGCTCGCTCCCTCGCTCTCTCGCGCGCCGCCAAGTATTTTGAGAATACTTCTTCCATGCTTGCCCCTCGTAACGCACGCGCGAGCGCGCTGGTTCTCTCGCTTCACATCAAACCACAAGCGGGAATAGCCAGCGTTGTTAGCTCACATTCCGTAACTGCATTCAGCGGCGTATCTTGCCATAGGCGGGCGTCGTCTGCCAGGCAGGCGGCCGCTGCCAGCAGCCTATCACGTGCCGCAGTTATTCCGGGTGTCCTAATACGGAGCAGTGACGTAAACACAGATGCTGTAGTTGCCGAGCGAGCGGGCTGCCTGCAGTCACAGAGGGAGCGGGATGCTGCACTGAATATCGCGTGACAGAGCCAGCCGCTCTGCTTCCACGCTGCCGGATGCTGCTGTGAGCCGCCCGGTGGCGCCCCACGCGCTTTTCAACGACTCATTCTTACAAAACACCCTCAAACAACACGTGATCGTGTGAAAGCATGATATGTTCACGTGTTTCACCCCAAACAACAACCGAAAAGTTCGCCATATTTGTTACACGCACACACCTACACACGCGCGCGCACACGCACACGCACGCGCGCACGCACGCACGTACGCACGCACGCACACACACAGACACCCGCACATGAAAAGTTAAAGATTAATTCCTGAAAATGAACTTGATTCGAGGTCAACGCTTTGTTTAATTGTTTGTTTATGTGTGTGTTTGTTTGTTTGTTTGTGTTGCATTCGTCCGATTACTCACCTCCTGAGCCTTCTTTTCCTTCTCTTCCAGTGTAACGTTAGCTGACGCTAGAGAGGCATTGCATGTTTCCAACTCGTTCATTCTCTCTGACGTCTTCCTCTGCACGTCGGCAACCTCCTCCTCGGCCTAGTGTGATAAAGAAACACATTACTGCATCGATGTGTCAAGCTATAATAATACCAGAAGAATCCCACTCCCATTGATGTGCTCATCGTCTATAAAATATATGGCCATGAATTTGGTCAGGGAGACTTGAAGGTCAACGGTTTAGTTTTCCTACATGCTAATATAATTATTAGGTAGGTAATTAATGTAAATAACAGGTTTTAGTTAGGCCAATTTTCTATTAAGTAATTAATCCGTAAAACACTTGGTCACCTAATATGGTGTTTAATTGTGTGTTTTTTATTTTGTTGATCAATTGCTAGTTTGCTAAAAAATATTGCTAAAAATATTCTGCGTTTATTTAAGACACGATACAATAACCATTAATTGCATAATCTCGTACGATAACGGCATATTAAGGACAGGGCATCAATGTAACCCCCAATAGATAACATCGTGTATCGCGGCTCGTGCATAAAATTATATTATTGTCTATTCGTTTAGAAGAAGAACGAGTGGGAATATATTATCGGCGGCCATGTTGGAGCAATCCGTTCGATTCCCCGCGCGTGTGCAGGGGATCGCATGTCGCCACGCGTTATTCCGGCATTAGCCGCCTATTTATAGTTGGTGCCGAAAATGATATCTTTGCCGCAGCATCCTCAGCCGTGCAGGCGCGCGCGCCAGCAGCTTGGCTGTGCTGCCGAGTGAAGTAAACTACAGCATCTGTTGAGCATTTTATGGTCTTACTGTTCTTGCGCTTCTGTATGCGACCGAAATATAGCGTGAATTATCATTAACGAGAATCTCGAATTGAAGGATTAAAATGTTTGGATGTTGGTTCAGGTGGGTAGGAATCGGGGGAGATTGCTATCCGGTTGCGCGCTAAGCTCCCTCGGAGACTTCCTCAAACCTAAAATAAGGGTTTCTTTAAATAAACCCCCGCGACCCGTTATTTAATCTTCCCGTCTTCAAGCCCGTTTGAAATAAAGGCGTTTCCTTCGAGTGCATTAGCGCAAAAAGACCCCAAGGCTGCGATGAAGCCTTTTGCCAATTTTATCGCCTGACAGAATATATTCCCGATAAGATGTCGTAGCTACCCATTTCAATAGGAGTGTTTAGAAACACTCACTGATACAGGATATAAACTGGTTCGGACACATTTTGCCTGACGCGATGAAGCCCTCAATAATACTTCGATATATTTTCGCGCCTCCGACGAACGCTCTTCATACTAGATCTACGTGGTATAGGTATGATGTATAGATGGTATATAGTATAGGTAGGTATGATGTATAGATGGTACATAGTATAGGTAGGTATGATGTATAGATGGTATATAGTAGGGCCTATAGGTCGCTATAACGCATAAAGAAATAAGGTTTGATTTTCCACAACCGCATACCGACCAGTGATGATTCTGTGTATGTGTGTTTATCGCAGGCACGTCGTACTCTCTATCTTAGTTCTTGTGTGTCAGCAGTAGTTCTTAACCACTAGAAGGCGACAGGAAACTGGTTCCACGAGCCAATATAAACGCGACGTTAAGTGTCTTTACTGACAGTTCGAATTTGGATTTTAGGATAAGCGCGACTGCGTCAAGAATGCTTTAGGTTTAGTGCCACAACAACCAGAATTTAACTCCCAGCTAAAAGCAACCACTCACGCGTCGTTTCCGTCTTCCCTAATCGAACTAGAATAACGATAATTGAACTGTTTTCAATCACGAGTCGCCCAGCTAACACGACATGATCAGAGTTCAGGTTGCAGCGCAAATGTCTCCCTTCAAGGACGAGCGAAGGTCGCAGCAGCATTAGTTAGTGGGTGACAGATGCGATCGACGCGTGAATGCCGCCGCATCAACACGCCGTGGTAATTTTAGAATGTGGAGTAACGATAGGAAATCAGATATTGAGAGAGAAATACAATAAGAGAGCGCGCGAAAGAGAGAACGATAGAGCAAAAGAGCCACAGAGAAAGCGAGGGAGAGCGAGAAAGAGAGAAGGAGCTATAGATATATGCTGAATGATAGGCATTTTGCCAGTATATAAAATTATATGATATAGATGATATATATATATAGAGAGAGAGAGAGAAAGAAAGAGACAGCGAGAAAGCGAGGGAGAGCGAGAAAGCGAGGGAGAGCTATAGATATATGCTGAATGATAGGCATTTTGCCAGTTGGCATAATCAGTTGGTCTAGCTGTTATCATAATGTTAATGTAACATTTGACCATAGAACTTCCGAAATTATTAATCAGAATACACTTAATTGTTTATTTTGTAAAAAAACGAACAAATAAAAAAAGCTCGCAACACACGCACACGCACACGCACACGCACACGCACACGCACACGCACACGCACACATACACACACACACACACACACACACACACACACACAATATATCGATAACTGCGCGTGTAATAGCATATGTTAGCGCCTCGTGGTAACGGCTGTGACGATGACGACGATGGCAATGATGAGTGGCATACCTGCAGGGCCTTGGTTTCGGCTTCCTTCTTCGATGAGTCGGCTTCATCGGCTCTGTCGATAGCGTTCTCACGCTCCAACTTCATCGCCTGCAGCTTCTTCTTGATAGCTTCCATTGTTGCTGGTTATCCGACTCGCCAAGTACAGAGAGAGTGCAGTGGAGGTTCCGGAGAATCACGGGCCGCTAAGGAGCAGTAATGCACTGAGCGTACCCTCACGAAACTCGGGCTTGTAGTAGGAACGGAGCAAAGAGGGTTGTGGTCTCGAGCTGTCAGTCACCCCGTACGCTCGCCGTGAATCGGAGAGGCTGTCGGGACGCTGGGGGCTCCTATTACGGGCAGTGGGGCGGGCACGGTGCACGCGTGGGCCAGTCCAGGCGCGTGATAGACACGCGCCATGTTTGCCTCGTGCGGATGATACACTTTATGCAAGATGAAAACTCCGGGACGAAGATAGTTTTTACATTTTTTAAAATGGCGCCCCACAAAATCGGCGGACGTCAGCCGTTTTCCGCAATTGTGTTCTTTTTCGTTTTGTTTCGTTACGCGTTCGTTCGCGAGTTTGCCGTGTTTAATCGTTAATTCTGGCATGTAATAGTATACCATCCCATATTTGGAAAGCAACATGTAACGCGCTTTGAGCGCATGTGCCACAGCTACCGACCTAGCGCCTCCCGCTAATACATGGCGCTCTGATTGAGCATCAAGCGTGCAGCTGGTGGCCTCACCATCTCTGCATCTTATTTTTAACACCAACTGCCCGGCGAATATTATCTACCAAGCTCATGAGAACACTCGCCAGTGAATATAAGAAGAATCTGTGCAACAATAACAATTAATGCACCTAACGGAAGTGGGAAATTGGGACAGAGAGAGAGAGAGAGAGAGAGAGACGGAGGGAGGGAGAGAGAAGAGAGCGAGAGGCGATAACGGGTGGCAGAGGTAGAAATTAAGGCAGGGTACATGCCAAAGACTTGAAAAATGGTACACACGGCTTCTCTGCTTAGCATTCAGCAAATAGAGATAGAGTGTGGCAAGTTAACTCGCAGTGCTACCAGTGGACTAACCCCCTACTGTAGCATTTACTGTGAAAGCAGCTGCGGGGCATCAGGGCTACGGAAACGGAGATAGGTACCGTCCTAATCGCGGGTAGGATTTAACTTTAACTTTAACATGCCACCAATTACAACCCATGGGCGTGATATCAAGGCACGCGTACCCCGAGATATGGCGCGAACATTTACATAGCTTGGAGTTTCTGTGCAACCGCAGAATGGCATCAAGCTACACTACGTCGTATCGGGAAACGCGCACGATCCGCTGATGTTGATGGTCCATGGATTCCCAGAATGCTGGTACACATGGCGACACCAGATCCTCGAGTTTCAGAAAGATTACAGGTATATATATAAATTATATTTATATTATATATATATACGTGTGTATTATATATATATTATATATAAACATATATACTCGTCACGTACGTTCGTTTTTGTAAGATGCCGGATAAGAGAAACAGGTTATTTGTCGGTCTATTTTACTAAAACCAGTTATTACATCAGATAAATCACGACATAGTTATGTAAGATAAGAAGTCTGTCCGTCTATAATATTTTCATCATGTCCCTACTTATATAGTTACAAACTCTAGTTCACAGCTGAAGTTAGATATAGTTTATTACTATATAAATAGGGGCATGTCGTGATCGTGTTAGTTTCTCTTATTGATGAAATGCTAGATTCCCATGCATTAATATTCTCTAAATAGACACCTCTTTATCTGTAGGGTAGTTGCCGTCGACTTGCGCGGGTATGGTGACTCAGACAAACCACCTAACCGTACCGACTACCGTGCTGAGAACATCACAGAAGATCTGAAACTTCTCATTTCCGGACTCGGTAAAGTGTTTCAGTAAAAATGAATCCTTGGATACGCAAATGTTCCTAAATAGTGGCGCCACCTTTTGACAATAAAATAGAAATGCGTTCAATACCTAAACCGCCAAATATCGCGTTTCATCCGATCGCTTGACGGCTTATTACATCTTAACATGTGCGAATAAACGATATAGTTATTGATAAACGATGATTAATTGATTTTTCGTGAGTTACATACCTGGTGGGGACACTAACCTGGGACTTGTCTCTGTTACAGGATACAACAACTGCACGTTGGTGGCACATGACTGGGGCGGTGTCATAGCCTTCATGCTGGCCGAGCAGTGCCCGTCGTCGGTGAATCGATTAATAGTGATGAACACGACAAGGAGGACTATCATGTTCCGATTATTGGTCAACCACGATCCACGGCAGTTACTGCGATTGTGGTAGGTCCATCATCAAGAGGGGTCCTGGTGGGGTACCGCAAGATCTCGGTTCACCGAGGAAATTTGGATTTCAATTTGGAATTTCTATTCAGTTCTCATTCAACATTTCTACATCTAGCTATAATTTGTTGATTAAATTAAGTTACTAAAACAAACCGAAAAAAAACTCCAAAAGGCGTGTGAATCCAAACAAAAATCGAGAAACGAAAATCACGGAAAAGGAGTGCGTTATTTCTAGTCTGGGATCGCGCATCACGCCAGCTAAAACATCACGACGTGCGGTACGAATATCGATACAAATTTTTCAACGTTAAGATATGCGGCTAGTTGACCCCCAACACTCTACCCCACCAATGTTACCGTCCTGTTTGTTCTGTGAATAGCAATACCATAATGTGATGTCAGTTTATACAGCGTAGCGGCACTGCTGTCGTGGCACATGCTCCGTGAATCATAAAGCCAAGGAAACGCGGTTCAACATGTAGTTCAGGGTTATGGGTTAGCCATAGCGTAATGGTTAGGATTACGGTTGGGATTAGGATTATGGTTAGGACTATTGCAATATCAAGATATGCTTAGCAATGGAATATTCTTCCTGTGACGTACGACCCATGCGTTAGAAGACGTACACAACTCCTAATTCCTCAAAACTCCTCAACTGTATGGATGCAGTGCGTGCAAAACGCAGTTAAAACACAAACATGTCTAATTGTGTTGTTTACTTGCCAGGTACACGTTTTTCTTTCAATGTCCTTATCTGCCGGAAGCTTTTCTCGGATGGAGAGATAGCAGAATATTAAAGGATATGTTTCGGACGGCATCCGGTCAGGCAATTCTTAGTGACGACGAGCTGGAAGCGTACAAGTATTACTTCTCCCGGCCAGGTATATATTATGTATGTATGTATGTATGTATGTATGTATGTATGTATGTATGTATGTATGTATGTATGTATGTATGTATGTATGTATGTAACCTACCTACCTACCTACCTACCTACCTACCTACCTACCTACCTACACTCCCACCTACCCACATACCTACCTACTTACATATACCTCCCTTCCTACCTATACCTAGCTAGCTACTGACCGACCGACCTACCTACCCGCCAGCTTGGCTGTCTGCGTGCCTGCATGGGTGCATGTCTGCTCGTTTACCTGCGTATCTGCTTACACCTGCCTGAGCTGCTAAATTTTATTACGACTTTAATTCGTATGCCATTCGCAATTAGTCCGCGTCTGCGCACGAGCAAATCCGTATTTTTTCTCGCTTATTCACACACACACACACACACACACACACACACACACACACACACACACACACACACACACACACACACACACATCGTTCGCTTCACGCTACGGTCACTATAGACTGCGCGGTGCGGGAGGAACGCATGCGTGTCGGGGAGGTAGCTAGCTAGCTTGGTCCGGATCTACTACGTGGGGAACAGCGCTGCAGTGTTCTGATGAATATCGCCTGCGCTACACCTGGTCTACTCCCGCTGGTCTATCCAGGTAAGATATCACGGTATTATCACCGATACACGTTCTTATTTTAAGCGACACCGCTAGAAGTTAACTGACGGTTGTTGTTGTTGTTGTTGTTGTTGTTGTTCTCTCGTTCGGATCTGTTGGCATGCAAATAGAGCGCGTTAATACGCGATGCATTTCGTGCATAGGATTTTGGCAATTTTGTTTTGCAAAGACTGCAGATCGTATAGTAGTAGCATATGGTTTGCTTGGGCAATGGGAATTGGTTTCTTCTTAACTGCACTTAATTTATTCATTAAACTCACTTAACACAACTTAATTTCAACTGGAAACGTGTCTTGGATTGATGGCGACAACTGACCCTCCCATCATCATCGGGGTGACTAGGTGCGACCACTCCCCCCACCCCTCCTCCTCCACTTCACCGTCTCGCCACCTAGTTTACGCGTGCTTAGCAAACCATGTCATCACATCTCTCCGCCGAGGACACACCCCAACCTGAACCACATACGCGCCTCGATACAGATAACTAACTCTACACGGCGAAAGTGTATTATATATATATACGTGACCTTAACTCGGTCACACGGGCCGGATACCTGTTTTGCATGCATATAATTGCGCATGGGAGTATTAAATTCGCGCGCGGAGAAAGAGAGAGAGAGAGAGAGAGAGAGAGAGAGACGCCC